TGTTGTACGAGAATCACTAAATTTGGTACACAGGGGTTTTATGACATGTAGAATCTGATGGTACTACGTTTTTTGGCGGGGAACCCTCCTAAGACAATTTTTCGTGGGCCCCCTTGTCTTTGGAGCCAAATAAATTTGGTCGCATATGTAAATTTCTTAAAAAATATCAGTTCACTAGAAAGCCATTAAATTTAGAAACTATTTGACTCTATACTTATTTCGTAAAACGCAATGTTCTCGAGAAAAATGTTAAAATATAATCGAATGCATGTCGTGATTCGCCATTTTCCTCAAAAACATTGCATTTTACGAAACAAATATCAAGGGGCAAAAAAGTTTTTTAATTCAATGGCTTTCTAGCTAATTAAAAAAAAATCAAATTTGCGACCAAATTTTTCTGGTTCCAAAGACAAGGGGGCCCACGAAAAAGTGTCTTAAGGGGGTTTCTCGGCAAAAAGCGTAGCACTGTGAGATTCCACATGTCATAAAACCACTGTGTACCAAATTTAGTGATTCTCGTACAACATGGTTTTGAGATATAAAAAAGACTTCTTAGGGGCAGATTTCCGGGGGCTGTAACTCCGAAAGAGGTTGCTAGTTGTCAAAAAGAAAAAATACGGGTCCCCTAAATTTGTCTTAAGAATCTATGACCAAATTTTGTTGCATGAATTTCGGGACACCCTGTATAGCATTTTGCTTATATTTTATAAGTTTTTTAATAACACCTATTTTCACTTTCCTAAATACGCCCCTGTGCACTTTTTTTGAACACACCGTGGGTGCGTGCAGTTGTTTGCTTCGTATATAGTGATCGTCATATAGTTCATCTGAACTAGGTCAATGTCAGAGGTCACTGACATTGAGATTTACAAATTAAAAATATAATAATATATATTTCAATTGTATCACATTCGTAAATTATTTACATTTACGAATTAGTTTTACTTAGTATTAATAACGGATGCCTGTACACATATACGTAGAGATGTTTTAAAATCTTATGAGCTTTGACCTTCATATGCGCAGAAACATAATTCCGACCGTCGCCTAAATTATTCTACGTCCTAAAAACATTACACCTATTATTCACAGTCTCTCTCGAGCTCTAGCGTAAACAAGCCTTTGATCCGATTACAAATATCGTAATAAAATGCCCTATTCTTTATTATTTTAATTTAAACAATAAAAATATATATAACGAACGTTCGCCAGTTGACTTTATTGATGTTGATGAGTCAATGTTTTCACAACGTGCTTATTAGAATTATGGGGATACGCCACGCCTTTCGCGCATTTCGCGGCTCATGAGATATTAAAAGACCTCTAA